TAAGCATCACCTTGGTCATCACTAGGTTATGTAAAGAAACCTAAAGCTACACGAAATCGAGGAGAGTTGTATATTGATATGGATAATATTTCTTTAACTTATCAGACACCCATTCCTATTGACCAAATAAGCACAAAGACTTGATGGATCTTTGTAAGACGCTAGCCTATCATTATCTAGGAGTATCATTTATTTTTTAATAATTTGATTTCAACTAACCCTAATGGCTCTCACATAGCTGATGGCAGCGATTCAGACAGTGACTTTTAATTTATTAAACCTTTAAGATTTTCATTTATTTTGTTAAACCTTACAGCTGTTTATTGAGCATTAGAAGTGCCTAGGAACGAATAACATAAATATCTAAAAGTTCTAAAATCTTCCTGTTTTGAATATTGTTTAACGTAAGTTACTATATTTAGTTGAAGTATCTACATTAGTTTCTTATTTTATTGATTGTTTGTTGTTTCTTTTTCTGTAAATTTAATGAGACAAGATTGGTAATTGGTTTTTGTTGATTTGTTCTTGTATCTTTACTCTTTACTAAGGCTAAATAATGTTCAAAATATGTTCCTACCTAATTGTAGCGAAGAAAAATACATTGTAATTATATAAAAAGAGTTGTTTGTGTTTATGATTCTTCTGCTTCTTTCTAGCCTTTATTGATTCCACATTTCGTAAGGTCGGCCGCTGGTCTAACCGGTTATTAGCTGAATATCATTTTTCTACGGATCGACTGCCATCTAACCTTCGTAACCCAAAGGGATACCGATATTCGTATGGTTAGACCGGTTGTCAGGATATTAGATAGAAGGCACTGACTTCCCAATAACGACGCCCAGGGATGAAACTCACGACATGGCAGTCGAACGTTCTACCACCAGGCTATAATCGTCACCTCACCTTGTTTTTGATTATACTTATATATTGAAGTTGAATAAACCCATAATTTTTATGTATAGATATTATAATAGAAATCAAATGAGCAATTAAAAAGTCTCGCTGAATTATGTTAGTCCAGTATACGTTGAGGTTTCAAATGCTAACATAGTTAAGTACTTTCCTAGTATAATGAGTCAAGTGATGTAATTTCGACATTTTATTATTAAGTGAGACAGAAAATACCGAAAACAACCAAAAGTAGGATGACGTTATCAAAATGACAATCATATTTCATAATATATTGGGGTAAGCCATAGATTTTGATGTACAACGTACATGAATATAACTGGTAGTTAAACCATTTTACTGTTGAGTCCCGCCGGCGTATACCCAGTCAAGTACATAAAGTATCATTTAAAAACAAAAATCAGCAAAATCATTTCATACCAAAGGAAGAGCTTCCATTCCTTATTAAAAAAACATTTAATTTATTACGAACAGGTTTAATTTCATTAAAATATATAACGATTTGCCTTCAAATCGCTCTCCTGTAAAATTACTACAATGTCAGTTGACTCATTATACTTAGGAGGTGTCGATATGTCTATCTCCAAAGGATAACCCACAGTAACCATTTTTAACTCTGAAAAATTACGAATAAAAAATGGGTTATTTTTGAAGCCATTTGAAACAATACAATAATATTCCTTATCCAAATAAATACATTAGATACGTTTGTTAATGTAGATTAAAATTGTTATTTACAGCATATCATTAAAATGAATATTTTAGAAGATATTAGAGGTTTAAAGGTCGCCGCGTCGGGCCGTACGGCCGCCCCTATCGGAGCGGGCCTATAAATATTGCATTATTGCATAATAATATAGAGATGTCCTGTAGTATAGTTCAATCAAAATAATAGTACAATTAATTAATCCACACTGACACCACATTAGGAGTATTAGTATCTTTATTGCAACTGAGCGAAGCCGTTGCGGACTGCTAGTTATATTCTAACTAAGACATAATACAAATAATAAATGGGTTTTGAAGTTTATCATGCACTAGCAGACCCGCGCGGCTTCACCTATCACCTCAAATATTGACTTAATAGGGTATTTTTCCAAGAGATAAGGTATTTTGCCTCCTTTCTAAGGAGAGGCCTATGTTATTTATTAATTAAAGTTATTGTATTGTTATTTATTATTATTATATTAAAGGCTGTTGATGAAGGTATTTTGCCGCTGTAAAAAGTAGCCTATGTGTTATTCTAGACCATATTCTATTTGTGTACTAAATCTCATTCAAATCTGTCCAGGCGTTTTATCAAGATCCGTGTCGGCAACTTTTTTCATATATCCATACATTTATTGAACAGGGTTATGATTGATGTTAGTAGTTGCCTATCTGCTAAAGTCGTCACAAAATAAGAAGCCCGTTTTGACGTTTCTCATTTGACATGCCGTGATAACTTTGTATGAACATCTATGTTCTTATAAATAGGATTAAGAATTTGATTTTTCAATTTCTTAATTGAAAAATCAAATTCTTAATCCTATTTAATTACTATGTTACCCATACACTATCACAACGCGTATCGTAAATAAGCATCAAGTTTAACTTTATATTGAAAAAATGCACTCAAAAACACGAATTAATCGTTGATTAATATTCCGACAGGACTTTACTACAATGTCATGTCTTTGGGTTGGTTGCCGTAGTGTTGTAACCGTTAAAAAGCCGTTTTATGGCCGAATAAAATAGAGTTTCTGAAAATCGTTTACAAAAATTACATTAAAAAAAGAGATGAAAAATTAGTGTATTATTTAATATTTAAACATATAAAAACAAAATCTATTATATATTTAATATGAATATTTTGATATTATACTAAATGATTTGGTTAAAAAACCCGGAGTGGACTCCAGCTTTTTTAACCAAATCATTTCATCATAATATTGAAAAAAATAATTCATCCTCATTTTTCTGTCTCAAACGTCATGTCTCATTTTACAACAGTCACATTTGACAACAGTCCTTAACAGATCAGTCTATAAAAGAATTATCAAAGCCGTACATAATTTGTTTCCTTTCTCTATATGATCCATGCGCGTACCGCGTACTGCGCAGTCTCTCGTTCGACATCTTGTAAAGTTGACTGTGCGCTCGTTTATGTTTGATATTTTTTCTAGACTCGGCTTTGCTTTTGGACTGTTTTTGTTTACTATCACGTTGACCTTGGCTCTTCTATTCCGGAAATTGATTAGACATAGCGATTTGGACTCGATTTTGGTGTTTGTTGTTATATTGTACAAACTCTGTTTCAACATGTCGAAAAGAGGACGTACAATCAACAGCCAATCCCGCGAATTGGTTGTGAAGTTAACCGAATACTTCGAACGCGAATCAGTTAATGGTGGACCATTATTACCCGTAACTCAAGTGCAAGATCGCGTAGCAGAAGCACTTGGAATCGGCAAAAAAACTATTCGAACCATTTTGAAGGAAAAGTATGGGTCTTCCTTTACTGAAGAAAATGTGTTACATACGACTAAGAAGATTAAGAAAAGCAAGTCTGTAACAGGTATTGACACATTTGACGCAGATGCTATTCGAAGCCACGTATATGCTTATTACACGAGAAGTGAGTACCCAACTGTAAGTAAGTTGGTGGTATCACTAAGAGAGGCTGGCCTGTTTAGTGGCAGTGCAACATCATTAATAATAATTATGAAGCAAATTGGTTTCAAATACAAGAAAACCGACAAGAAGAAAATTATGATGGAACGATATGATATAATTTTGCACAGAGTATCATTCTTGAGGCAAATGAACAAAATTAAAAATTGGGATAATGTCATATTTATCGATGAAACTTGGCTGAACTCGAATCATACCGTGCCACAGTCATGGACGGATGGTACCAAGGCATCTTGTTCAAAATTGCCAATGGGTAAGGCTGGACGCCTAATAATCTGCCATGCCGGATCAGCCGGGGGAGGTTTTGTGCATGATGCTCTACTCGCATTCGAGCCCAGAAGTACAAAAGAATACCACGAAGAAATGGATGCAAATAAATTCTTAGAATGGTTTACTAAGTTGTTAATAAACCTCCCCGAACAGTGCACAATAATTATGGATAATGCACCTTACCATTCAGTTCAAATAGATAAGGCACCTACTCAAGCAAGCAAAAAGGCAGATTTAGTGGCGTGGTTACAAAGAAAAGGCGTAGAAGCTGACATGAATTTATTGAAAGCTGAACTGCTGGAATTAGTAAAACAAAATAAACCTGCAAAATTAAGATATAAAATCGATGAATTGGCACTTCAACATGGTCACAAATTGATAAGAACGCCGCCGTACCATTGTCAGTACAATGCTATTGAATTAATCTGGGCTCAGGTCAAAGGATACGCAGCACGTCATAATACATAGCCACCATTCTCCACTAAGAATATGATGACATTGTTAAAAGAAGCTTGTGATAAAATAACTAAAGAAGATTGGGCAAAAGTGGTAGAAAAGACGCGAAAAATAATAAAGGAAGATTATGATAGAGACGTCAATATTGATAATATTATAGAAAATGAAATAATGATATATACAGGCGACGATAGCTCATCTGGCTCGTCATCAGAAGAAAATGATTGATTTCACTTTTCTTGATTTTGTTGATTGATCTAAGTTCTAAATTAAAGACAAATTGACATTTCTTTCCATTGTATCATTTCAAATTGCCTACAACATTAAAGTTTAAGTTATATGTTCTAATTATAAGTTAAATCCAATGCACTTTGTGATATATAGTCAAATCAATCAAATACTCAACAAGCTTGAATCGATTTATCGTAAGTATCGTGCACCGAGTCGTATGGTTAATCACTAGTTACGCCACCATGACAAATGTCAAAACGAGCTTCTTATTTTGTGACGACTGTAGAGCGAGCAACATTGAATCTGACACTGACATCGAATTTGACATTGAGTTTGCCTAAACGTCAACCGTTTAACCAAAGGAGTGAAGCAAAAGAAATTATAACTTAGTAAAGACTGGAATCTTAATAATAAACAAAGCGATATTTGTGGGGAATGGAGGAAACAAATATATATTAGAAATGGAAGCACCCACTCAAAAACGTACTCCTAGGTAAATAAAGTTAACACTACCCATCTAAACTAGTGACAGAATATTCTAAAGAAAAGTAACGAAATAATTATTTTCAGTCGCTGTCGAGAGTGGGAACGTGCCAGGCGTAACAAATTTAATGATGCTATAACTAAACTTGGTGAAGTTGTAAAAGCTATCAACAAAACAAACTTCCCTGATTCAGATGCTGATGATGCTCAATGTCCAAAAGTTGAAATAATTCAAAAAGCTATAGTATGCCTAACCAACTGCGGTCAACAAATAACAAATTTGAGTAAGTTGAATATTTTGGACTATATCTAATTATCCTTAAGTTAGTAATGATATTCTCTTGATAAGTGTATGTAGTTCCTAATGTGTTGAATTTCCTTGTTGTCAAAATATAGTAAGTGATAAATTGATTAAAACTTTTGCCATTGCAGTATTTTTGTGGGTATGATTCCCCTATGGAACAATTATTAATTCTGTGATACACAGACAATATTTTATGTGAACTTGATTTTTGTACTTGTAAATTGCATTTTGTTTTTTTTCATACATAATATAATAATAATGATTTATCTTGAGAAAAGTATAATGATACAAACTATACATTTTACATAGATACATAGCTAAAAATTTTAAAATTTGCATCATTTGTTTTACAGAAGCAGATATTTTAGCTGTGAAAGTACAACTTGAAACAACTAAACCAAAAGATAAATCTATTAAAGATGCTTCAACACAAGTTTATTATGGATTATCTAAGAAGCGTAAAGGTAATCAAATGTTTATGTTTATCCCTTATTCTAGCCCCATCACCCTATCTGTCTTCCTTACCCTAATTTACTTTCTTCTGCCAAAACAATTAACGGTTAGAGCGCAGGCACCCAGCCCTTAACAAAACTGGCCTTTTCCGTTACATTGCTCAGGTCCTAAATTTGGGAAAGTAAATTAATGATCGTTTCTTGTAGACATGGAAATTTTGCTTCTTTTAAACCTTTTTCATTCATTTATTTTATTTACAGCGATTTCACATGTGATTGTGATTTCATCATAGACAAAGATAAATGCCATTAAAATCAATCAAAATTCTCTTCATCAAGATTACTTCCTTCGCGAGTCTTGCACTAGCATAATAATAATAAGACTCAGTGGACTTGTAAATCAGTTGTAAATCAGTCACAGGTGTGACTGTATGATTTATCACATCTAAATGTTATTTTATTCCAGAAAAAGTTTCTTGCCTATATAAAATCATATATTTTTTTTAAATTATATATTTTTTTAAAGTTATGATATATTTTTTTTTTAGTAAATTGCTGTATTTATACACAACAGTCCAGTCAATAATTTAAAGGGAAAACAAGTGTTTAATCTTGTTTTTATAGTATTCAATCCTAGCTTTTTAATAATTGAACAATATAATGTTTTTTTCCAGATGGAAAGTATGTGAAACTACTAATGCTGAAAAAGAGTAAAACTAAAAGCAATAAAAACATAGTACAGAATAAAAATAAGCCACAGCTCGACTCCATCAGAAAGCTGCCCAAGCTCTTACCAAGAGGTGGAACATCTGAGAAGAAAGGTATGTAACATGTGTTTTATTTATAGTTATGCTAATGCTGATATTTTTTTCTTTTGTCAGGTTACACAGTTGTAACTTTCCCCATAGATCTAGATCTCATACAAGTACAGATAGATCCAACCAAGTATATTTAATTTAAAAATAGTGAAATTTAAATTAATTTTAAAATAGGCATTTTTTTTGTATACTATGTTTACAAACAGGAGAAATAATTTAAGAATATGGCCCCCTGCTTCCCTTGAGTTTAGGTTAAGCGGTCACCACGCAATTTGTGGACGACACTTTGTGTGGTCCACAAATTGTTGTTCTGAGTCTGGGTGTTCTTTGTGTCCGTTCATGTATGTTTGTAAACCCCCCGCGACAGAGGATGCATTCCTAATGCGGGCATTGTCTTAAAAACAAAAACAAAAAGAAATCTTTTTCTGTTTTTGTAGTGACGTGTTGTTTGACATTTCAACATATGATCCATTATGCAAACAAATAATATATATGATGAAAATACTTACAAATATTACAAGTTTTGCACATTATTACAGGTCCAGAAAATACGATAGTAGTACTGCCAGCAGCGCCTTACATGTTTCCATCAAGACCATTATTATTTCCAGCAGTGCCACCAGCTATTGTTTTAGTAGATCAGAATATGCAACCATTGAGTAAAGGACCTCTATTGAATAGAAATAACGGAGATATCACAAAAACAACAATGGTCAATATCCTACCAATATCTGCATATTCACATCCTCTATCAGCTGTAAAAAATAAAAAGCAAAATGTAAAATTGAAAAGTTATATCTCTAAAAAGTTAAACCAAAAAACTAAACCAACTGGTAACACTGCAAAAGAACCCTTAAAAGTTAGTGAATCAAAGACGCCCACAGTTGTTACCAAACAAAATAAAACACCTGAAAATTCTAATAAAGAAAATGATGAGAGTAATAAGGTTGTTCCGAACAAAGAGAAAAAAATGGAAACTGATAAAAACACGATTAAAAATGCAACTCAGTCCATAAAGGAGGTGGATAAAATACAAAAAGAGGAAACTATTACTGTTAATAAAATTAACAGTGATGTATCGGACATAAATATTTGTAAAAGTAAGGAAAACGAAGTTCCTAATGTTATAGATAAGCCTAAGAGTCCAGAAACCGTCACAAAAGAATTGCCAATTAATGTAGTAACTACCTGTAGTGCCCAAAATACTGATACCGTTAAATGTTTAATTGAAAATAAGACTATGAAAAGCTCAGCAAGCAAAGAGAATGTAACAGAGAGTAAACTTAAACAAAACAAATTGCCTAATATTTTGCCCTTAGATACGCCATTATGTGATAATGTTGTTGATACAGGCAATGCACGTCTAGAATTAGCAGAGGAATTTCTAGCCACTTCACCAACTGCCGCATTTCTTATGTCATTTCCGTTAGTCAGTGGTAACAGAGCTGACAGCCCTGCTGATGAAAATTCTCATAGCACTACTCCAGCTAATCCAAAAGAAAGCCAAAGAAGAACTGAAATAGCTCCACCACCTGTTACATACTTCGAAAAACCGACTAATGACATAAAAACTAAATCAGCAAATAAACTCTCTGATCCCTGTAATACAACGAGTAAAGAAAATGAACAGCAAAAATGTGTCACTAACGTGGTCACTAAAGAATCAAATAACAATATTACCATAACTAAACCCTCCAATACAGCCCCATTGCCAAGCATAAGCAGTGAAAATCCATTCTTAAACTTACCTATGCCTTCATTGATATCAACCAATTGCACATTAGCAGATACTAATTTTGGCTTGGAATTTGACTGTAACATAAGTAAATCTATACCAAGTCAATCCAGCAGTTACGTAAGTAGTAATAACTTTTTCTATAAGAGTGATCCATTTGGTACTGTTAAAAACAGTATTTACAGTACTAGTAGTATTACTTCTGGCCATGAATTTAATAGTCTCGGGCTCTATCCTTGCGCTATGGAAAAATATGCGGCTAAGAATAAAACGGATTATTCAAGTGTTGATGACAACCTTATGAAAATTGGATCGTCAAGATTAACATACGATATTGACTTGGGTTGGTCACACAAAGGCTTGGATTTTGTAAATTGTACCACCACCACCACCACCACAAACACTTTTAATAAGGACACTATATTAACGAGTACTGCTACGCCGTATACAACTTCTTATAATCCCTTCAATCCTGATTTTCATGTCCCCTTAGTACCTAGTAAGAAAGATAATTCTAACAAAGTTCCTAGCTCTTCGCTCGCGGATACTATTACTAGTTTTTATTCGCAGCCCACGAATTTATGGTCTGAAGACGTACCGTTTTATACTAATAATAATATATCAAAAGCTTTAACTTCAAAAAATCAGAATTATCCCGCATTAGATAATTCACAAACGAATACTAATACGAAATTAAATATAAATAAACATTATGAAACTAAAATGACAGAAGCTGTCGCTGACGGCGTCCCTGGGATCAAAGATAGCAATACTGTAGAAAAATATACAAAAAAGTCTCCAAACAAAATGCATATTAACTGGATGACGTCCGAAATAAGATCGGTGCAAAACAATTGTAACCCTGTGCTACCTCATCCGGAAATAAAGGATACCCATAAATCTTACAATAACAGCGACCATTCTGTAAAAAAGCATGATCATAATGAGGGCAATTATTTTCCTATATCAATGCATAATTTCCCCACACAACCAGTTCAAGAAGAATTCCCAGTGTGGCCTGCTTCCACAAGACCTTTAGGAACTACGGAAATAAGTATTGACCCACCGCCTATAAACCTGCCGACTTTAGTTGGAGATCTAGCTCTGGGCCCACATGAGAAGAATAAAAAAGCAGATTTAACAAACCGGACAGCGACGCAAACCGACATACAAAACTGTGGCAATTTTCTTTCTGTGACACAGCTGATGAACCGTTCAACAGACAATATGCAGTCACGATTTCAAGTGCCCAATATCGAACCTTCTAAATCCATACCAGCAAAACAACATACTAATAATTTTGCTAATGAAACTCATCGCAAAAGTATGATGAATTTAGAAAACCATATGCCACAACCTTGTTATGTTTTCAATGATCTTAAAGTGGTAAATTCCTATGACAATATGGCGCAGTTTACACAACCTAAACCAAAATTAAATAGCAAAGCTGAAAAGTCTTCTAAGTCTCAAAAGAATAATTATTCCACGGAGGCTTTGCTAAGAGGAGCAAACTGTACCCAAAAAATTCATGATACCAACAGTACTAAGTTCATGATGCCATCACAGAAGTACCCGGACTACAGTAACACCCAGGACTCCGGTGTCGCACAAGTGTCACATTTCCCACCTATTATAGATTATTCAGATAACGGCTACACTAGCCAACAATTTTCAGGAACAACTTTGTACAATACCACTACAAATACAATATCTAACTCGTTTTACTCAAACTTTATGCCAGGAAGTAGTAATTTAATGCCTAGTAATTATGCAAGTGCACCTTTCACGGGTGATTTCATCGATTACAACCAAACTGCAGAATGCAATTACGCTAATCACAAGTACGAGGAGCTTAAGATGAGGAATAATACAGCCATGTTCCAAACAGAGAAGGTCCCTACTAACTATAAAAGTTCAAGGCGAGAATCAACAAAACATAAACTAGAATGTTCCAAAAAAGAGTCTAGTAAGAAATATCAAAGCAAAAAAGCTAAAATGAATAATGAAATTGAAGATTGGAATGATTCATCTCATTTAATATGGCAAAATAAGATGTCAAGTAAAAAACATACTAATCTAATGTCGGAGGAATTGCCTTTTCCAAACTACGTAGGCAATCAAATGCCGGCTCAGTATCAGAGTGATTTCTTTAACAGTCACCTGATGCCCACGAACATGCAAAGCATGGGGCACAATGTCGATCGATCGTTAGCTGGTTTACCTGTCACCTCACGGGCTAACTTCAATTTGAGCACTATATTTCCAGAAATTACCATGGTAAGTAATCTGATTATTTTCTTATTATATCCATTTTTATATTTAAGTTATTTTAAATATGAGGTTTGGTCAGCATCATGGTCACACAGTAGCGTCATGGGGACCTATTGCATTTGAAAGATTAGGTAATAGAATGAATAATAGCTATACAATGTTTCCACTTTCAGCGCTGGGAAAAGCTACAGATTTTTAAAAATGTCAAGGAAGGAAATCAGATATTTTGGGGATATTTTATTTGGGCGCCAAAAATCCTCCCATTGAAAGGTCTAACAGTTTTAAAGTGGCACAAGCTGGTAGCGAAGTATTGAAAATGCAAACTGTAAATTCGAAAAATTGCCATATAGAAATAAGCGAGCGTGTTAGATTTTATATAGACGGTTCAGCTAGATGTTCCTGTCATACTAGCCGAAAATCTGACTATAATTTTTCTGGGTATTTTAAATCTGACGGTTTGAAATATTTAGATTTTTTAATTTTATAAAATGAACGAAAAATTATATTATATTATGTAGACATTTATAAAAGGTTTATTTCATTGTTTTGCTTGCTTTAAAATAAAATGTCAAGATCATGTGTATTTTTTTGGAACTTAGTGGCCCTCCCACTGCTCTATGTCACGTACAAATCGTCAGTCTTTTTTTTTTAAATACACACTAATGTATATGTAATTGATTCGACTTACCTTAATCTTACACGCTCGAGTATTTCTGGCCATCGATTTTTTTTTTTACTAATCTGATAGGCTGCCCTAGATGATCCTCCTTATATGTAGGGCTCATGTATGGTAGAATTTACTTAACGGGTGTAAGGTCCTCCTATGTTAATCTGACAGGCTCGAGTAAATCCCGAAATCCCTTCTAAGGCTCCCAGTAACTTTTTGCCACCTTTGCCGTTGCCACCTGCATTCTATTGACTAAAGTTGAATATATTATTATCTACTTATGTTCTGAAATTTTAAATTAAACGATATTATACAATATTTTGTTTCAGAAGGTGCAATGATAGTTACAAATATCGCAACTACGTTACAAGGCAGTGTTGCGACGATAACTTTTATACAAGACACACATTTATTAATTTATTCCTAGCCTTTCGGATACACTGTAAATATTAATAAAATTGTTTTGAAACTATTTATGAGCTTATTACTGTTTTATAACTGGTCAAAAGAAAATTAAGCACAAAAAATGAAATAAAAAATTAGAATCACCGGAAATTAATATGGTTTATAAAACTAAGTTATTGTCAATTTTAGTATTTATATTAACATTATAAATGCGACAGTAACGCTGTCTGTCTGTTAGGTTTCACATCAAAACAAAACTGTCGAACCGATATTAAGAACTATGCTGCAAATATAAAAGGTACCCTTAAGAAGGACATAAGATACTTATTATCACAAAAATAAAATCTATAGATAGTGCATTTGAAGAAGTGATTAGGGAATGAAAGTTTGCATGGGAGACATTCCACGCGAACTAATGCGTACTGTGCGAACTAGTGCGAGTACTGGCTAGTAAAATAATAAATATGTAATTCAAAACAGACGTTACTGATGAAGTGCAATAAACTGAAGCAAAATTTATTATTCAAAAGTGATCTTATTCTATATATTTTAATGGGATTCGGTAGTCTGTTAGCAGAAAAAATTGTTCTCAGAACGTCATGATGTATGAACATAAAAAATAAAAAAAGTAGCTTGGCATTAACATAAAATAGCAGAATTGAGGTGTAACCTAAAAAGGAAGTCCCAAATACTACTGCTTTTCACATATCCTTTGATTTTAATCGGAGCATTATTTGTATAACTTTATGAACAATGATGTTTAAAATTTCCTTGAGATCTTCCACCTTCCCACTCTGAGATTCAGGGATTTTTCTTATTGATTAGTAGGTACATATACAGGTAACCGAAATTCTTAAAAATACCTTCTGACATCTCGCATGTAACTAACTAAAAATTCCTACTTTTTGAAATTCCTTCTCGTCTTGGTCCTTCTTTTCATAACATGTCTAATCTAATTTGCAAATAGTTTCGTTGTAAAATACAACAGTGCTATACATTTTCAGACTGTGTTTTTATTTATTTGTTTGCTAAACTTAATCTTAAATCCGCTAAATTAGAGTTTAATCTCCGGTCATTAAAGTATCCGATTAAAAACAGACGAGAGACCTAACTAATTTGTCGGGTAAAAACTCCCATAAATCTTTGGTTTAGAATTAAAATCTCGTTTCATTTGTCGTATCTTTAGTCCTAATGTTGTAGTTTTATTTTATGAGTCGTGTCGTGAGTGAGATCAAAGACACTGATACCATTATAATGAGATCGTCTGTTGTCTTTACAAACAATGTACAACTTGTTTTCTATTAAGGAATTCAACGCATGGAAAGCACATTTTAATGACATTCTCCTTCAATTGCTTATTTGAGCATTTATTTTATTTTCTCATTTCTCTTTGAGTTACCTACTGAATGAAAGGGTAACTTCGACGCGTTGAAAATAACTTTCGTAGACAATTTAATCGTTTCTCATAAATTGACGTACACAGTTAAATGAGAGCTAGTATCTGTTTAGACTGTTTACTTTTGATAGTCTCAAATAGGCACCCCTATGGTGACGTCAGTTATACAGACTAAAAAGATATCGAATATCAATTGGCCCAAGTGGAATCCACATAACATCACTTTTTTTTCTTTTTTATGGTATAACGGCCCTGATGATAAGTGCCTACCGTCGCTCATGGACACAAGAAACTCTACACAAGTGTGATGCAGCCTTTTGAGTGCCCTTCCCTTCAGAAGACCCAAATCGTTATGTCAACGAACGAAGTGTTTAAAACTGGTTTTCTACACGGTCGAACTAGCCAATAATTATGTGGCTCTCAGACTGTTTCAGGATTTTGGTTGCATTAGGTATAATTGAACTTAATTTCTTTTTCTGTATTTTTTTCCCAAAGTAATCCATTTATATATAGTGTATGTATTGCAACAAAATTAATGTAATATCGGATAGTGAAATAAATGAAGTTGTTTTAATGAACAGAAAAAATAACTATGTAAATGTAATTTTCATAACCAATTTACAAAACCAAGAGCCTTGTTTTTGCTCATCAAATAATAATAGGAAGTATGTAAAACAAAATTAAAAATTATTCAATCACTTGTTAGCACCAATATGCAATAAACTTAGCAAAAATTGTACTATATAGCAAAATTCTTGTAATTTACGGATCTTACTTTTTTTAAATAGGTAAACTTTGAACACTTGTACGTTTCTGGCAATTTTAATGACGATAAGCACTAGCCTCAACAACAAAGTTACCCTTTTTTAGTCGTGTAAATTGCAGAATTATTGTACCCTAGTAGGCTCTTTTTTGTAACTACCGGCGCCTGAATCTTTATTAAACTTGGTGAGTATATCTTTACTTAGTATAAAATAATGTCGATTTTTTGTGTTGTACGCTTAAATATTTTAAACTAAGCAACGGATTTTAATGCGCTTTTCACCAATAAAGAGAGTGATTCAAGAGGACGGTGTACGAGTATATGTATAATACATGCATATTACAGATAGTAGAGAAAATCCGAGAATTTCAAAGATTTGTCTTAAACACATGTTTTTGTGCGCTTACATTGCAAACGCCGGCTAAACCTTACGAGAGATACCAAAACAATTTACTACGGAATTGTATATCTTAAAAAGATCTACAAAAAGTCTGCGATGGTATATATCTATCTCCTAGGGATAACCCACAGTAACCATTTTTATCTTTTAAATATTACAAAAAGTTATGGGTTATTTATAAATTAAAATATTTTTGCTTTTTTAAGCAATTGGTAAGTAAAATATACCAACATAACTATTTCAAATTTAGCTTATCATGAACCAAATTTCTTAAGATTACCTAAGCCTTCGGCGTCAGGTTTTTTTGCGACAGGTGATTTTTAGTTTGCTGTTAAACTTACTGTGTCAAATTTCATTATTAAACTTTTCCGTTTTGGTGAACTTTTCTCTTATGTTTCATGAACAAAAATGTTTTATTTATGTTGAAAGCCCTATAAATTAAATTTTCTTGGTAGCTTCAAGACGCTGCACACTCGTATCTCGTTAATTTCTAACCAATGTCAATCTTTATTTGGTTAACATCGGTCGTTGATTTGTTTTTAAGAATAAAGTTAGATAATATGTAGGTCCCTATAACAGGTATCGAAGGAGACCTTTCTGATTGGGAGGACCTCACAAAAAAGCGTGATCAGTGGAGAAGGGTCGTCTCGGACGGCCTCAAAACCCATGATGAGGCTTGGTAGGGAATGCTGGCTCGTAGGTGAATGCGCTGGCACGAGGGCGGTGGGGTTTTAGGCAATCAATCCCTAACTTGTCGGCACTGTGGGCGTTGTTGTGGCTCCCGTATTGATCTATACAGTCACCACAGAAAGTGCCGAAACAACCAGGATGCTGCTTAAATCATCTGATCAAGATGTTAAAAATATTTCGAAAACTTGAACTTGTAATCACTCATTTACAGATAACCGTAATAGTTCTTAATATATGGATATTATTATTATATTATGCGATATCTAAAGTTTTCCTTTTTAAATTTTTCAAAATATTCTACTTTAATAATAATCTTTTTTTGTACCACTTCTTTACTTTTTACTTAACACAAATATTTTTTCTTATAATATAAATATAATATTTTATCTATAACTTAAAAGGTTATAAGAAAAAAATGTTTTCTCAGTCTTTTATTAATGGCTTCACGGACCAAGCATCTGAAAGCTATCGAGATAACGACATGATTAATGGGTAAAGCCAGATCTTCCTCTTTGTCTTAAGTTCTTGGAATGAACCCAGCCGATAACGATTTTTTCATTAACCCGTAGTCACCCTTCGCATATCACTTTTGGCTAGACCGGATCGTTACACAAATCAACGGAAGGAAATCCATTAGGTAACGTGACTTACTAGTATTTTCGTCCTGTATTTAGGGAAATAGATATAGGTAGGTGGTTATCGACTTGCTGATTACTTGAATTGTGTATAGCTATTACTTTATTCGAAATAACGTTTTTTTTTAAATAGAAAACATGATTTATGACAGAGTTCAAAATGAATAAGCTAGTCAGTTACTCAGCCTCCAGGCTCATCACCAAAAGCTGATTACATTATAATTCTTATCAGTACTTGCATGCCTACTTCATATTTTCCATCGTATAAATACTTATATTTGTCTCTAGGTTATCGAATAAGTATTCGTGTTTTATTTTGAGTTTATAATCGAGGTTTACGGCGAGTGCTGTCGAATCTCTCTATACATGTATATATTATTACAGTTAAGCACTGAAATGAGCAAAGTATAAAGAAAAAAGCAAGACTTGACAATGACGAATTAGCTTCATTTTGAGACGCGTGTCCTTCAATATTTATGAAACTGAAACATGGTATAGGTAGTTGTATTCGCATTTAAATATTCAGTTTCACACAATATTTAGCGATCGTATTACTTTAGTTATTGTATTTTTATAGACTAACCAATATATTATTAATACATCGGTACTATTAGTTAACCTGACAAAAGTTTGCTGAAAGTTTTCAATAAATTTATTTTTCAAATCTGGTGGGAAACCATTTCCATTTTATTATTGCTATTTAAAAAGTTAAATCAGAAAAATTTAGGCAGCCGTTCTCAAGTAATGCGCTTACCAACCACCTCAACAAACTTGTCAATTTGAAACCAATTTGCCCTCAACAAACATAACCGTGCGAATTAAGCTTTAAACGACATGGCTGGATAGGCATATCGAACTGCCTGCGTAACGTTACATACCCAGGCAGATCGGGACAAGCACAATGCAATGATCAGTCTACGATGTAAAAAACTTCCCCGACCCTTGGACCATATCCCACCGTCTTATAGTCGGATAGAATTAGCGAATCTACGTATAAAATTGATAAACTCCATTTTTTATTTTATCCGTCCGTTTGTGGGAACATTGTTAAA